GGAGGGCGTCATATTTGCCTCGATGACAGTTTTCAAGATGAACCCAGGAGAGCACAGAAAAACTCCGGGAAAGTGGTAGGAAGTCGAAGAAAGTTAGGAAGGTGGTAGGTAGCATCAGGGTAGGGGGGAAGGTGGCACCACATCAGTGGAAGAACGTTCAGGGTGGAGAAGCCGTTTCGCTAGACGTACCTTAACAGCATAACCTGCCCTAGCGGCTACTTCATGAGCCTTCTGCCTTTTCGGATGTTCATCATCTTGGCCCACAATCCGAGTTACCAAATGCGGTCAAGGAGAAACAGAACCGACCTACTCTAGTGGCCTGAAGCGCGTCGAGCCGCTTATCCATGCTTATACCATTATCCCGAGCAGATCTTGCAGTGGGTGAAGCTAATGCAATTGCTCAAGACACATTCCGTGGTAATCGGATGGGTGGGGGAACGAGCAGAGGCTCTCGACCACTGTTGTACCTTCTTAACTGGTGACCTCGTTCTTATACAGTAGAGGGGCGAACCGTGTACCAACGAGGAAGGCACAATAGTCATGAGTCTCTGCCCGATTATCCCCCATCAATTTATCGTGGAATATCTCCATCAAGATGTTCCGTACTTAGATGTTCACTGGTATTGAACCCCCCAACTAGGTGGGCTAAGCTGTTCACACCCTTTGGTTCATCATATAAAGCACGCCTCAACAGCAAACGTAAGCCTAAGCGGAAGTGGAGTGCACAGCACATCCAAAGGAACTCTCGTGTGATTTTTAATTACTACATTGTTTATCTCTTTATGGTTATGACTTACTTTATTTCCTTTAATATCATATTTTCTGTACTCTTCCACGTTCTTCCAATATGTTTCCCTTTCTCCTTCCAAAAATGTCACTCATACAACCCTGTTCCATAACAGAAAATATCTCGAAAGAGTTTATTTTTAGCCCGAAAATGTGATGCTGAAGAAGCGTGGCGATGCTCAAGTGAAGCTGATTGACTTCGGTCTTCTCGCGCCTTATACCACCCGGTCATACCATCAAGGATATGGTTGGCACGCCGGAATTTGTCGGTATGCTCCCAAGCAGTTCCTTTATGAGTAGTTCACATCGTATTTCATCTACTCTCCAACGGAACTTACCTTTTCAGCGCCCGAAGTGGTCAACTACGAACCTCTGAGTCCGGCTACAGACATGTGGGCGCTAGGGGTTGTTACCTACATCCTGTACGTAACTAGAAGCTTCTGACCGCATCAAATACTTGAGCAATTCTCCTTTGTGCTTTCAGGCTGTCTGGTGGAAGTCCGTTTCTGGGCGATACGCGAGACGAGACCTTCTGCAACATTACTGGCGTGAACTACCACTTTACTGACAGGTAAGTCTTTTTCGGGCTTTCCTTCTGCAACTAGAACAGGAACTGCAAAATTTAATGGCTAGTGAAATACTTCAAAGCTGGAGATGCTACACACCTACACTTGTCCTTCTATGGGGCAATGTCAGGGCTATAATTTGGCGTAGGTCTACTAGAGATGAGCGAATTAGATAAATCGCACACCGAAGCCGGAGCAGCCGGAGCATCATTCTGATCCAGTTAACGAAAGTCGGCAAAAACGAGGAGTTGGATGCGACATAACTAATACACCTACCTGTGGCCTGGCCGGCCGCCTACCTTCGTGAATCGGTGCTCGTAACACTGTTTGCCATTACACCCCCGCCCCAACTCCTACCCCAACCTCCGCCAGGCCATACTGTAGTAAAGTGTAAAGTCGAACTGAGGACGGAATTTCACGCTTCTGAGCAGGCGCTGCGTAGCGGCTTTTCCAAGGAAGGACCTTTATAGGGCCCTATCAGGCTGCAACATACCGATCTGGATCCGCCCGCCCACAAATGGGCGACCATATGAGTGCATACGTGCAGCCCACCGTAGCAGTTATTGGCAAGATGCCTACGGGAAACTCGTCCGAAATTGCTTTTCGAGTCACAAAGAACGGAGGCCTTTCTTCGCAGATTTTTGACCGTTTCACTTCGTTTTTTTCGCCATTTCCCCGCTTTTTAACACCTTGCTAGCATTTCAGGCCGAGTACACAATTGTCGTGCCATGTGTTTTTAAAGGATAGCAGTTGTAAGAGTCCCCCTTCAAAAACCGAGAACCACTCAAATAATTGAACATTTCAGGTATTTCAAGAACACCTCCACCTACGCGAAGGATTTCATCTCACGTCTCTTTGTCCGGGACACTCATCTAAGGGCCAATGTTGACGAATGCCTACGACATCCATGGATTCGAGGGGTGAATTCATTTATTCTGGTTCACAATGGGAACAGCTAACGAAACTGTACTGCGGCCAAATCACTTTCAGGAAATCAACATTTTCTCCGAAACGACCCCTTACTCCAAGGAAATCAGCAATTAAAATAATTTTCGTCAAGCCAAGTGCACCCCCCCCCCCTTTCACCCTCTCCTATCTTCGGAATTCCGCAACGATGATATGCCTGACCATCGAAAACTGCGTTAGATGGCGTAAGGTGAAGTAACATTCAGCGTTGTTTGGTTGTTTTATCAGATAACTGTTTGCGCTCCGGAAGCTACCACAAAAATACTGCTCAGGCGGAACTCGAACCCGCACCTAACGCTTTCGGGCGCGTGCGGTGTCCTTTACGCCACCAGGGCACCCATTCTCTCTCAGCTTGATAGCTTTTAAATCATAGCCTCTTATGTCATGTCTAGCCAGCTCATACTCGCTTACATCTCTGCGAATTGTTGCGACTATAGGCAATAAAATCAAGATAAACAGTGAAGGTAAGGGGCGGCCACTGGTGGCCGTGCGCGGCGACTCACCGTAAGCTTGTCGCTAGGACGCCGTCCTGGTTTCAAACATGCCGAATAGCGGCAGATGGTTAACAATGGAATGAAAGGCTTCGTTCATGAAACGGCGTCCTTGTGATAATTAAGCCAAAAATTGTATGAAAAACCAACCTCAGCAATAGCGGCGAGATGCTATAACAAATGGAGAGCAGAGTGAACAACAAGGAGCATTTGATACTTCTTCGTTCACCGTAACCCACCTCGGGTGTAGTATAGCAGATGGATAAATAGCTGTAAATAGGACCAAATAAAAAATTCGCTGCTCCATTTCCGACACCCGCAGTACATCAGGACATATCAGTTGTTGAAAGCGACTCTGACAGTTTAACGATCAATACACTAAGCCTGATCACAGTGATGTTCCGGTATGGCTCCTAGCTGGGGTCAAGATCAAGGCGGCTGACATCAGTCCAAAACGTACAGTAGTGCCTTTTGTATTTCGTACTCACATGTGCTGGATAGTCCACTACTGCTGTCCGGTTCAATGGGGAAAAATGGCTCTGCTGACAATGATGAGGTGCGCGCTGATATCCAGCTCTATCCAAGAGATGAATGAAGAAGTGAGGGAAGTGTACCCAAAATCTCAAAGGCAGTTGGCACGATAAATCCCAAAGACGAGTAGGATTAATACGCCTGGCAGGACGGAATTCCGCGCCCCTGAGCAGGCGCTGCGTAGCGCCTTTTCCAAGGAAGGTACCCTTATAAGGCCCTATCAAGCTGCAACATACCGACCCGGACGCCCACCGCGCCCGCCCGCCCACAAATGGACGACCGTACCTGATGCTCGTATTGCTTCATTTGCGAAGTAAATAGAAGCGAAGGGACCAATATGAAGCGGCCACGGTGCTGCATGGATATATGAGTACACGTGTGCAGCCTGTACCTACCGTAGCGGTTATTGGCACGATGCCTACGGGAAACTCGTCCGAAATTGCTTTTTGAGTCATTAAGAACGAAGGCTTTTCTTCGCAGTTTTTGACCGTTTCACTTCGTTTTTCGCCATTTTCCCGCTATATAGCACCTGCTAGCATTTTAAACCGAGTACCAAATTATCGTGCCATATGCCTTTAAGAGATGCAGTGGCGAGTGACATACACAGTGCGCGTCTCTGGTGAACCCGGTGCATGCTCGAAAAAAGTTTCGATACTAATCAGCGGCGCGAATTGGCGTTAGACACTATCGGTTTCACCGACCACGCCAAGTCAAGAATGGGGAAGTAGGCGAAACGC